AGTGGTGCATTGGTGAGTGCCCGGGATCCGAACCCGGGCCGCCAGCAGGGGAGCGCGTGCACTTAACCGCTAAGCCACGGGGCCGGCCCTTAATTACTTTTAATAGCTAACACCCACATATGATTATGGCTAGAGGCCACATAGTGGGCAGTGCAGATCCAGAATGTCTCTGAGTTTAACCTTTGGAAAGATCACTTGGAGGTGACCAAGGGACGACTTAATTTTCTAATATCAAACATCACAGAAAGATACAAAGACAAAGTTAAGTCTGTCTTCATTTTCATCCCACCTTCCTGAGCTTGTAACCAGTATTAACAGCTTGGTTTGCATTTTTCAGTCTTTCTCCTGACTCATACAAATATGCACATACACAAAATATGATGTGTTTGTTTTGTTTAATGGAAAATAGGATCATGCCTAAAATTCATTTTCACATGTCACTCTGAAATTAATTTTCTTCAGTTAACAGATTATGATTAACATAAAGAAGATGGGTGAGATGAGCAGTGTTTTAAAGGACAGACAGGTAGAGGAGGACCTACAGCTGAAGAAGTCAAAGAGGGTTCCAGGAAGGGGCGATGGGAGGAGGGAGATAGGAAGGAAGGCCTACACCACGGTCAAGGAACAGCAAGTACGTCAGCTTAACTGGGGCTGAGAGAGAGGTTTGTGACCAGTAGGTAGAAACAGAGCAGAAAAGGTCATCGGGCAACTCCATCCCTCCTGAATACCTGTAGTCCGGGGTACAGCAGACCACTCAGCAAAGGGTGCTCCACTTGCTTTACCACCTCAGCTCCAGCTTTCTTGGCATCGTGCTGTGTGACCAGGGAGGAGAGTCTGTACACATCTAGCGTGTACTCTCTGAAGAGGAAACGAGAGGGGCAGCTGTTAAGACTGGGCTCAGGCCTCAGATGAATCCTAAAGCACATTAATTCACTCTCCCAATCTTAAGCCATTCAAAGAGAACACTGCCTGGGAATTTCTAAAATGTGAGTGCTCCATCCTCTCATTCAAAATACTACTTCATTTTTATGTTTTTCCTTTTTAAAGATGGCTTTAATTAACCCTTTTCTTCACTTATCTCTTGAAATACAGATTCTCTGCTATTCCCCTCCATTCTCTTCTTCTGGAACGCCTATTAAATAAACTCCAGAATTTCTCAATCTATCTCCCATGTTTTTGTTTTGTTTTGTTTTAACTTAAATACATGTAAGGAATAATTAACAATATGAATAACAGTGTACCCATCACTCACTCTGGGGGTCTACTGGTTAAGATCTGGCGCTCTCACCACCTCAGCCCGGGTTTGCTTCCTGGTCAGGGAACCACACCACTTGTCTGTCGGTCGTCATACTGTGGTGGCTGCGTGTGGCTGTGATGCTGAAAGCTATGCCACTGGTATTTCAAATACCAGCAGGGTCACCCATGGTGGACAGATTTCAGCAGACCTTCCAGACTAAGACAGACCAGGAAGAAGGACCTGACCATCCACTTCTGAAAAAATTGGCCATGAAAACCCTATGAATAGCAGTGGCGCACTGTCTGATATAGCGCTGGAATTGTCTGATACAGTGCCGGAGTGACAGGATGGCACAAAAACACTGGCAGGGTTCTGCTCTGCTGTACAGAGGGTCGACAGGAGTCGGAATCAACTCCACGCCACTAACAACAACCCATCACTCAGTTTAAGGAAAAGGACCTAATTACTTCTGAAGCTCCTAGGTGCCCCTCCATGATCCTGTCCTGCTTCCTCCTCCTCCAGAGTTACTGCTATCCTCAACTTTTTTTTTTTTTTT